CGAAACAAAAGCCGGATAGCAAGCGATCTGTTCCTCCACCGTCATCAGAAGACTACAGCGACTGGACTGTCGACCAACTGAAGCTAAAGTGCAGTTTTTGGTGTGCGCCGCGCCGTCAACAAAGTCTCTCGGATCAATGGCTATCTTGATCGCCTTTCTGGATGTTACTCGAGATAGACAAACTGTCCCCATCACTCGAAAGTTGTAAACACCGCCACGCGACACACTTTCATCAACTTGAAGGGGCTTCGAGCGAGATGCCCCCATCGACGTAAACGCAAATACGTTGTTGTATGCACGGATGGTCTTCATGAAGTCGGGTTTCTCGAATAGCCTTCGCAGTCTCTTCGGTGCCTCCTGGCGCGGAGGCAATTGAACTTTTCCTTTTCTGCAACAGTATTTATCCGTTTCCCCAGCAAACTTCCACGCCTTGCAATGCACACATTGACGCTCATCGCCTGCCCGATTTTTCCTGAGGCGCGAGAAATACACAACGTGCCCTTCCCGCGAATAACGCTGCGATTAAAATCTTCATGATTTCCGTAATCCTTCTTGTACTTACGGGATCGATTCCGAAACCGCTGTGCCTCACGTTGTAGCAAGAGCTCCTCTCCCGTCATTTGACTCCGTTCTACAGCTCGAGCGGTTGTATCTCGTTCCTGAACACTTTGCCGTTCTTCCTGGCTCATGTCCTCTCGTTGGGAAGCTTGCGCAATGGTATTAAGATCCTGAATTGCTTGATGTCACCCTCACTCAGTTGCAGTCGCTTGTAATGCTCTGGCAGCGCTATTACGCCCTTGTTCAACGCGTCTTTGTTGGCCAGTCATCTGGCTCCGACTCGCTCTTTTCGTTCCCGGTCTTTTCTCCGAACTTCAGCTAACTGGGAAGCACTCATATTAGCTCTCTGACGGGGGCGAAGAACCTGACTGGCGTTGAATCAGTCCGGATATCAGCTGCAGAATTCACCTGATCAGTCGGTACTTCTTGCTTTACCAAGACACTTGCCGCTGCACCACTAACTATCATCGTTGCCTCCGAGACAACACCATTTAATTCAACAGGTGCTACACTCTGCGTCAATAAGCATCCACAGACACCAGCGCCTCGCTAACCATTTCCATCACCGCTACAGAGTCATCGCCAATCTTAATATTCGTAGACTCAAGTGCTGCCGTCAAGGCAGCCTCTTCACGTTTACTCAGTTGATTCAAAGCCGCATTTCTGCTCCTGGTCCTCCGCTTGCGGTCTAGCTCCGATTCTTGTCCTTTCGGTGCGCGAAATGCATCTTCAATGTCAGCTACCGTGTTATACTTCCGTTTTCGTCCCATCGGTTCCACTACGTTTCCACGAAATATCCACGTAATCTTTTAGAATTCGTCAATTGACCAAAGAACGAGTGGAAGGTTTAAAGAGGGTCCTCAGACATAAACCTCGACTAAATCAATTACATCTAAAAGCTTCATTCGTCAGTGTTTGCTCCCCCCCCCCTCCAAAACCAATAGCTAATTCCTTAGTATCTTAAATAAACCTCAGTACTGAATTGTACAGCCACTTTTAATATGCTTCATTTCATGTAGTGTTTTTTTTTTGTTTCCCCGCACGCCGTTATGAACCGGCGAAGCATCTGCTTTCCTCTACCAACCGTGGGTAACACTGTTGACCGATCAAGCCTTGCTTCTCTAGCCATCCACCTTCCTCCATGCACCATGGGGTTTATACGTTTTACTGGGGGCTGTCCCACTTCTGTCGGCACCAATTCTCACCAGGTTTGACCATTTTGCACCACTTTTTGTGTCCCACTTATTTGTCCCTTCGGCCCCCAGAATCTCGCTACCAGTAGACGGCAGCTGACACCGCTCATATCGCCACCATAGGAGCCGAAGACACAACCGCTCAGATATCCACCATGGTCAAGGGCACCTGAGAGTGTCAAACAACTAGATCATGCACTACAACAGCCACTCATCCAACCTACGACGAGTGTGTGAAGGAACAGAGGGAAGGACGCGCCAAAAAAGCAGCGCCAGCGGTGGAGAGTCTCCATTTCTCCGCCTGCGAGGTAAGTTGGCTTGTATACATTGCATTTAGTGCAAGGAAAAGAACTGTGCTAACTCTTTTTGACCTACTGACGTTTGGTTTGCAATCTCGCAGTGTGGATTGCCGGATTTGTCCCCACAACGCTGTTTCCGTTGACGACAACTTGCACATGCCGTTGCCTTGCGCTTGCGTGAGGTGGGCTGTGCTGATGGGAGCGACGTCACGCTACTGTGTTGTATCTTAAGCAGAGGCACACGTTGCGGCTTCAGGCGGCACCGAAGAGCATTTACTGAGATCTGTGAGTCTGGATCCGGATAGAGTTTTGAATATTCGTGATAAATGTGAGTCCATTTACCGTGTCTGTTGGGTAGTTCTTGTTCTAACTTGCGAAGCTCGTCGATGTGCTCCTGCGCTATGTATACAGGGTCTCGCTGGTTGCAATCTCGACTTTGGGGGGTTTGGTAATTGGGTGGCGGCTGGGATAATTGGCAATTTTGCTCGGTCGCACTGGTCAAGAGCTCAGAGCACTGGTGGATACCCTTGGACGCTGAAGTTAAGCTGGAATTCGGTGACTGAGAATCGGGTGCACTTGGTAGAAGCTGTGGC